TGGAAATGGATTTTTTTTTTTTTTTTTTTACAGAAACTGGTTATCTAAATATGCATAATCTAAATTTCTGGCCCTTCGGAGTCTAGAACTGCTCAGAAATAATATGAAGATGAATGTGACTCAGGCGCTTAGGAGGGCCGCAGGCTAGGAAAAGGGGGCTTTGGGAGAAGACGACTCGGTTTCTCTGCCTAGAAGACTGGTACCCTGGACATTTGTCTTTGTGTCAGTGAGAAGGGAGGGGAGGCTGCTGAAATTTTTTAAAAAGATAACTCGGTGATTGGGTCAGAGCCTTGATAGGGTGCCAAGATAACATTAATTTTTGCATTAATTTATTTTTTTAATTTTATTTTTATTGTTGAAAGTATTACAGATATATCCCCCCCTTGACCCCCTCCACCCTGCTCCCGACCCCCCATGCCTTCACCTCACTATTGTCTGTGTCCATTAGTTATGTATAAGTTCTTTGGTTAGTTTCTTCCCTCATCCCTTCCCTCTGAGATTCGTCAGTCTGTTCCATGCTTCCATGTCTCTGGATCTATTTTGTTCATCTGTTTATTTTGCTCATTAGAGTCCACATATGTGAGATCATGTGATACCTGTCTTTCTCTGACTAGCTTAAGAGCTGCAGTTTAACAGAGTAGCAAAAAATTTACCTCAGTCAGGTTTTAAGAGTCTCTCCCTTTCCTTTGGTTGTAAGGGGTCTGCAGGGGTTTATGTCTCCGTCCTCCAAGTGAGTTTCAAGCCCCTAATCTTGTTCCCGCCTGTTTTTTCTGAGGTCTCAGTGTCCACCCCTGTGTGGTTCCTTTGAGGGTCCAGACATGGGCACAGGAGTCTTTCACTATGGCTGCAAAGCCATGACTTAATTTTGTCACCCAGGCTTCCAAGTGTTATCTCATTATAGAGGCTCTCCCCTGTAGGGACCCAAGTCTGGGGTACTCTGGAAACTGCCCCCTAATTCCAAATCCATCTTTAGTCTAGAGGCCATTCATGATGGGGTACTTCTCTTCCTCAGATTTCACTACACACCTTTCGAATGGCCCTTCTTACAGCCCAAGCTCCCAAACAAAAGCCTGGGTAGTGGTTTTTTAGGTGTCCGACTATTTTTGTTTTTAACCTCTAAGGCTATGGTAACCTTTTAAAGATGAAACTCAGTAGGAGAACCCTCATTCCTTTTAGTCTCCTAAAGCACTAAGGACAAAACAAAATTAATGTTTCAATAAATTACCTTTCTATACATCTAAATAATGAATGTGATTGATATAAATTATTTCTATTCATCAATACATTCAGAGAATTGTTTGGAAAATACTTTTTTTTTTTTATCCTCACCCGAGGACATTTTTCCATTTTTTGTACACATAAAGTGGGAGAGAGAAAGAGGAAGAGAGAGAGAGAGAGAAACATCGACGTGAAAGAGACACATCGAGTGGCTGCCACCGACGTGACCAACCAGGGCCGGGGACAAACTGCAACCGAGGTACATGCCCTTAGCGGAACCGAACCCGGGTCTCTCCAGACTGCAGGCCGACGCTCTAACCGCTGAGCAAAACCGGCCAGGGCTGGAAAATAGTTTTGGTCCCCTTTGCCTATTAGCATTGTGATTATTTGTGCTTGAAGTTGGTGGTGGTGGGGGGGGGGGAGAGACATTCCTTTAAGAATATTTCCTTACCCAGACTATTTCCAATCTCTCCCTCCCCCACCAGTTGGGGTATATTTACAATAGTTTAGTTTATCTAGAAGACCAGGAAATGTTAAGATGGAGACTTGACAGTGGTGAGCAGAGAGATTAGGAGACTAAAACAGAGAAATGAGGGTCAAATGGAAGACAGGTAGAAAAGGGAGAGGGAAGGAGACAGGGAAGGAGATGGAGTATTGAGAAATGGTGCAAAGAAGAGACAAAGGAGAAAATGATGTTAAAGAGACTCACGATGAGGGAGTGAATAAAAAGAGAAATATAGAATAAAGAGTAAGAAGACAATGGAAAAACGAGTGAGGAGCACTGGTTCAGTGTTAAACTTCTGGAGGTCAGAAGTTTGACAGTGTCACTAGGCTAAAGTCAAGATGGTGCTAGGGCTTTTTTAGGGGAGGGGGATCTAGAGGAGAATCCATTTCCTTGAATTTTTTAGCATTTAGAGGCTGCCTGCATACCTTGACTTATGGCCCCTTCCTCTTCCACCATTAAGTCATATCTCTGACCATTCTCTGATCTTCAATTGCATTTTTCTGACCATTCTTCTGTAGTCACATCTCTCCCTCTCCATGGCCAGAAAAGGTTCTCCTTTCTTTAAAATTTTTCATTGGTTTTTAGAGAGGTGAAGGGAGAGGGAGAAAGAAAAAGCATTCATATGAAAGCAAAACATCAATCAGCTGCCTCCTGCCTCCTGTATGCCCCCTACCAGAGATATGGCTGGAAATTTGGGCATGTGCCCCGACAGGAATCAAACCTTTCATTGCGCATGAGGCCACACCAGGCAGGGCCCATGTGATTAGATTGAGCCCACTTCGATAATCCAGGATAATCTTCCCATCTTGAGGTTCTTAATAATCACCTTTTTATCATAAGAAGTGATACATTCATTGGTTTTGAGAATTAGGACATGCACACCTTGGGAATTCATTATTGTGCCTCTCACAGAGATCATGTAGCCTTATTTGGTGCTTTCTCTGTAGGTCAGAGGATCAGGCAGTGCATTACCAGGTAAGTGTATTTCCAGGGTAGGCCATATCAAATGTATTTTAGCCCACATATCATTTGAAATGTACAAATAACATGTCTTTATTCTCAAAGCATTAAGAATGCACATTTTGGTAAAGAAAATGCATATTTTTATTATGTTCTAATGTAAGACAGCAAAAATAAATGGATAACCTATGAAACTATATGAAATTTCCTACGCAGGTAGCCTGGAGGTCAAGATTAGGTAGTGAGCCACTGAAGTTGCCAGTTCATTTGACCCTGCATGAACCAAAGCTATGCAACTGTTGCTGAGGATTTTGGTCAGCATGCCCCTTCTTTCTTTCATGTTTCTCTGCTAAGATGCTTGTGGATTCTGAATAACTGCTGGTGATTCCAGATGACAGTTCCAGCCCCTTGACTCCCACAAGATGTTTAAGTGGCCCTTCCTCAGATTAAGAGTTGATCCTTGTGTCTGTTAGCTAAGGGACATTCTGTGGAATTCATTTTCTCATTCATGTGCTGGCATTTGGCACACATCACTGTAATTAGAAACTGGCCTTTTTGGGGAAATATTGGTCAGGACCTCTTCAGGAAATTAATTCAACCATTTGATTCTGATTCTGATTCATGTCCTGTTCTCATCTGAACCACTCTTGTACCAGCTCTATGGGCAAGCTGGAAGTAAAAAAACTTGCTGTGAGAAAGAAAAATGAGGTCTGGGAGAGAAAGAGAAAATGAGCTTTGTCATGTGCCGGTTTTTATTTAAAAATTGGCCTGACCTTTGCTTTGGCTCAAATTTTCCACAGGTGGGGCTATTTATTTCAGAGTTCTGAACTCACTGGGGCTGTTAGTATTGGGTATCTTCATGAGTCTTGTTGAGTGAGAGTTTATATACATAAGAAATTCACATTACATTTTTCTTTGTGTATCAACATATACAAATTGATGTAAGACCAGCTTCTATTTGTTAAACACTTGAAAATTTAGTTCTTTTACCTGGTCTTACTGAAGACGACAGCAGGTATGAAAACAGAGTCATAGGGAGATCAGCCATATCATTCTCATCTCACTTGGTCAGAAGGCTAGTTCATTGGAACTGAGGTTAGGAAGTTTCTTAACTTTCAAACCAGGACCCTTTCTATTTGATTATGTCGATTTAAAAAAATTCCAGTAACTCAAGAGTTAGAGCAGAGTTTTAATGACATTAGAACTGTCAAGAGGTTTCACACCAAGTCTCACCATGTATATTTAAACTTAATTAACTGTAATTTGGTGGTAGGGGAATAAGAAAGAAAAAAGAAAATGGCATTTCATATTATCATATAAAAACATAACAAGATCTTGAAAAATGCAATGTTATATAAAGATCTAAGAAAAACCTTGAAAAAACAAATACTTTTGCTGCTGTACTATTCAGAAATAGCACATGGTTTCCACCACATAGTGAATATCAGGATCAAATAAGTAAGTGCAGAGATTACTTCTAAGTTTAAATGTTTAACATGCACAGGGATGAGCATTTTCTGGCCAATGTAATTAATCCCACCAAAAATGGGATAAATGATATCGCCTCTAAATTATGGGCTATAAAATTTAGAATTCTACCCCTTATCTCATGTGCTGTGTTTTTCTTTAGTCTAATCTAGGCCAGTTATTCAGAAATAATTTTTATTAAAAAATGGTCAACACATTGTTTGGGACTGGTTTGGGCTCACAGTGATTTTCTGGATCATTTATAACATTTAACCAGGTTGGAGTTTTGTTTTTGTTTTTATGCCAATCTAAAAGTACACATAAAACCTGTTTCAACCTGGTTTTACTTGTCAGTTTTCAACAAATTAAAATTTTTAATCTTTCAAAAATGTACTTTAATATGGTTTGTCTTTTTCACCTAGTAATTTCTTCCTGCCTTTTGAAATATTTCTGTAACCATATTGAAAATGGACAGGAAAAAAATCTCCACACATGAAACTTCCTCCTAAATTCTCATGTATATTTTGCTGATGATATTTATGGCAGATATGAATATTGCATTTAGCTAAATAGATGAAAAGTGGCCTCTCTTTCAGAGTATTATTTTAGTCTGTAAGAAATGAGGTCTGGCTCATGTGAAGGGCAGGCTCAAAAGGCCTGTCCAGTGCCACTGTCTTACCTCAGTCAAGGAGCATAAAACGACTCTTCAGGTCTTTATTCATTGAAATGGAATGTTTCATTAGGCATTCTATTCAGAGAGTAAGCCTGCATACTGAGAAAGTTATGTAGGGAAAGTTATCTTTCCCTAAACTAAAAATAAAATACAAATGTGGGAAAGTTCACAGCATTTCATTTTCCCTACCCTCTCCCCATGACCACCTGGAGACATAGTTGAACCAAAAGGAGTTATTGTGGACCCTCAGTGGGTTCGGTATTAAGAATCTGTGCAATAACTTCGAGATCCTTCTCTGATCAGCTGTGTTTTCTCGTTTGCATTTGTAGGCTGGAGAACAACTGGAAAGTCCAGATCTAAAAATAAACAAAGCATAGCAATAAATACCCTCTTATCAAGCTATATTTTCTTTAATGGGGCAAGTAATGGATATTTTTGTTAACATGATGATTGGCAAATCAATTCAATTTGTAAGATATGGAGGATGCCTACCATTTAAAGGACTTCAGAAGGGAAGAGACACTGTCTTTACTATTATATCAGTTATATAAATATAAAGCCAAAGCACTGAACCCAGATTTTAGTTTGAGGCAATTGTTGAACTTGGTTTAGTTTTTACCATCTTGTGGGAATGAGAATAGGCACACCACGTATGTCATATAGACTACAGTGTATATTTATATAAAAGTATCCCCTAGAGTTGTGCAGTACACAGTTGCATATAGGTTATTGTTGGGAGAGAGGGCAAAACCCAGAATTTGCTTAGGTGAAGAATCTAATAGGAAGCTCCCTACATAAAACCAGCACCCAAAATGGTTATGTGCTCTCTAAATCACCATACCTCTAAATCTGCAAGGAAGTTTGTTAGTCTTGAGTTTTGGTGCTGAGTTGAGGGAGGAAAGAGCTCCCCTAAAATGTTTAATGGCAAGCCAATGAGCATACAAATTGGCAGACCAAATTTATGATACCTGTGTAAGAAAGCTCAAGCTGATAATTGTTTGAAATGGTCCAGTGTAAGATGTGCTCCCCAAGCACCTAGCAGAAGTGAATGGCCCCACCTTAAACTCAGGCCTCAAAGAATCACTAAAAGTCACAAGAAACATGAACTCATAGTAAAAACAAATAGATAGGAAAGATAGGAGATAGGATATAGGAGGGAGGGAGGGAAGAAAGGAGGGGGGGAGAGAGAGAGAGAGAGAGAGAGAGAGAGAGATTGAGGAAAGATTACACATATAAACAATGCATACTGAGTGAAAGCTAGTAGGAACAACAGAAGGCCAAATCAGACCCAGAAAGACTTTATTTATTTATTTATTTTATTTTTTTGTTCAGGTAGAGTGGGAGGGAGAGAGAGAGAGAGAGAAACATAGACGTGAAAGGGACACATCAAGCGGCTGCCACCCGCATGACCAACCAGGGCCCAGAACAAACTGCAACCAAGGTACATGCCCTTAGCGGGAACCGAACCTGGGTCTCTCTGGACTGCAGGCCAATGCTCTAACCGCTGAGCCAAACCAGCCAGGGCAGACCCAGAAAGACTTTAAATCCTGCACTTACCAGACACAGAATATTTAAAAAATAGATTTGTGTTTTAAATGATAAAATTAAATTTGAAATTAATAAAAATAACTTCTAGTGATTAAAACATCTGAAATTTTTAAAACTTGATGAATGGGTTTAACAGATAAAGAAAGCATTAGCAAAACGGAAGATGTCTGAGGAGATCAATCATAATGTGACACAGAGAAACAAATAAGCAAAATATAAACAAGGTTAAAAGACATGAAGAATAGAATGATAGCCCTGGCCAGTTGGGCTCAGCGGTTGGAGCATCGGCCTGCGGTACAGAGAGACCTGGGTTCGGTTCCTGCTAAGGGCACGTACCTCGGTGCAGTTTGTCCCTGGCCCTGGTTGGTCGTGCGAGTGGCAGCCTCTCGATGTGTCCCTTCACATCGATGTTTCTCTCTCTCTCTCTCTTCCTCCCGCTCTATCTGAACAAAAAATGGAAAAATGTCCTCGGGTGAGGATGAAAAAAAAGAATAGAATGATAAGGTCTAACTTATATCTAATAATACTTTTATAAAGAAATAAAGAGTAGAGGCAATATTGAAAGATTTAATGGCTGAGAATTTCCTAGAATTGATGAAAGACTTCAATCCACAGATTTAAGAACTAGCCAGGATAAATGAAAGAGAAACTCATTTTAAAGACATCTTGGTGACATTGAAGAACACCAAAGACAATGATTTTAAAAGGAATCTCATTTTGCAATAGCAAATATGGAAGATAGAAAACTATGGCATTATATTTTCAATATGCTAAAAGAAGATATCTATCAATCTAAATTTGTTACCAAACCCTCTTATTGTTACATTCCTTTTTTTTTAAGCATGATATATGGGTATTTTCAGACAATAAAAACAGAAATAGTGCCACCAGCAGACTCAATTTAAAAGAATGTAATTCAGGCAGAAAGAAAGTGTTACCATATGGAAAATTTATGCTGTAAAAAGGAATGGTTAGTAGAGAAAATGGTAGATATGTGAATAAAACTAAATTATTATTGACTATGTACACCAATAATAATTCATGAGGCTTAAAATTAAGATAATACTAGAATACAATAATAGTGTATAAATCAGAATGAAGGTGAACAGAGTTAAAGTATTATAAAGTTCTGATGTTCAAGAGGGGGTAAAGATAAGAATTAACTTTAAACTTTAATAACTTATTTATGCTCAATAAATATAAAAGGTATCCCTAAAAGAATGAACAGAGAATATAATTTCCAAACTAGAGGAGAGAAAAACATATTCTATCAATACAAAAGAAAGAAAAAAAAGGGAAGAAAAGAGAAACAGAAAAAATAGTAAATTTAAGGTGATAATTATAATAATGAAATAATAAGAGAAAGCATATATATAATACCTATTATGTGCCCAACACTGTTCTCAGCACTTTATATACATTGACTCACTTAATAACAGCACTGAAAGGTAGGATTGTTATTATAGCTATTTTGCACTAAAGGAAACTGAAGCATAGAGTATTTTAAGTAACCAGACTTAGTTACACAGGTAGTAATAGAACTGGTATTCAAACCCAAGCAGTATTTCTTAGTTTGTTCTCTTAAAGACTGTGCTATACTGTCTCTCAAAAAAAGAGTAAGTTAGTATTAATAATCAAAAATATATCATTAATTCTAATAAATGTGGACTTAAGACTGTTTAAAAGAAAAATATTGTTGGACTGAATAAATCCCTTCAGTTTTATGTTGTTTACAAGACACATCAAAGAACATAAAGATAAAAAGAGTTGAGAATTAAAGGATGAAAACATTTACCATAGAAATACTAACAAAAAGAAAGCTAATTCTAAATATATTTTATCAGACAAAATAAAAATATGAGACAAAAAACATTGCCTGCTGTAGAGGATAACTACATAACAAAATGTTCAATTCACCAAGTAGCTATACTAATTCTAAACTTATATACATTAATAACATAGCTTCAAAATATATAAAGCAAAAATTGATAGAACTTTAAAAGAAATAGAAAAATTTATTATCACAGTGGAAGACTTGAATGTTTCTCTCAGTAACTGACTAATGAAGCAAAAAAAAAAAAATCTTTACAGATATAAAGAATTTGAAAAGTGTAATGTTGTTAACTGAATTGTGTCTGCCCTCCCCCCACCAAAAAATTTACATGTTGAAGTTCTAAACATCAGTACCTCAGAATGTGACCATATTTGGAAATTTTACTCTTCTGAAATAAAAAACTTTCCTTTTTATTGATTCTCTTGTATATTTGTTTCTACTTAATTATTTTCTTCATTATTTCTCTTAATTTATTATGTTGTTAATTTTCTAACTTTTACTTTTTATACTTCCAAATCTCTGGTGAGAATGACTAAAACAAGGAAAGCAGAAATAACCAATATAAGGAATAAAAAATGGGACAGTAATATATATAGATCCTATAGATGTGTGGGGGGTGTGCAGGAGGCAGCCAATCGATGTGTCTCTCTCACAAAGATATTTTTTTCTATCTCTCTCTCCCTTTCTCTCTTAAAAAAAAAAAAAAAGGATATCACATTTGTGGTTACCAGATGGGGAGTGGGGAAGCGAAATTGAAATTGGATGAAGGTGGTAAAAAGGTTTATAAAGGTCTAGTTATAAGGTAAGTAAGTACAGGGGATATAATGTACAACATGATAGCTATAGCTAACATTGCTGTGTAGTGTATTTGAAAGTTGCTGAGAGTAAATCCTAAAAGTTCTCATCACAAGGGACATTTTTTTTCTTTTTTGGAGTATCTATATGAGATGATGGGTGTTAACTTATTGTGGTAATTCTTTATATATATATATATCTATATAGATAGATATAGATATAGATATATACACACATATATACATATATACATATATATGTGTGTATGTATCTATTATGCTGTCCACCTTAAACTTATCTAGTGCTGTATGTGAATTATGATTACAAATGATTTAAGATAACAGTTACCCCTGGAGAGGAAAAAGCAAACAAAGAACTTAAAAGGTAATGGCAATATTCTTTTTCTGAAAGGTAGAAATTCAAGTTATAATATTTGTTTGTGTGTATTTTAATGTTTAACAAAAACAATAACATAAAGTAGTTAAGTGTCCAAAAAACCTCAGCCAGTAACTAATATAGTTGGGGCTTAAAATGGGGCTGTCTGACTCCAAAGCTCTCTGTGTACTGCTTTCAGGGTAGCTGGCATAAAAGGCAATCAATTTTCCCATTTTTCCACACTTTGTGAATATTGATACCTAAATAGAGCTTGTGGTATCCTTCGCTCCCTGCCATGGGTGGATTTGCAGGGAACAAAGAACCGTCTTCTTTTCTAAAGGAAGGGGGGTATTTAGTTTTTTTCTCTTGTCAAATTTTGGTCTACCCCTCTCCTCTACGATTTATATATATATATATAATTATATATATATATATATATATATATATATATATATATATATATAAATTGAGGTGAGATTCATGTTACATAAAATTAACCATTTTAAAGTGAACAATTTAGTAGATTTAACACATTTAGAATGTACTAAATGTGTAATTCACTAGTTGCAAAACACTACCCCCAAAAGGAAACCCAGTCACCGTTATGCGACTGTTCCCTGTTTCTCCCTTCCCCCAAGGCCCTGGCAACCACCAATTTGTTTTCTGCCTCTATGGTTTTACCTATTCTGGACATTTTATATAAATGGAGTCATACAATATTTGTCTTTTTGTGTCTGACTTCTTTCACTTAGCGTCATATTTTTAGATTCTTCCACACAGTAGCATGTATCAGTATTTCATTCC